CCCCAAAACCCCAAAACCCCAAAACCCCAAAACCCCAAAACCCCTTTTTATGGCGAAATAATTGAAGCATAAAAAATGTAAAACACCTTGTATGTTGCAGATTTTAAGTGATTACACTGATAATATTACAAAATAATTATATTTAGAACTGGAGAAGCATGTCATCTGCATCTCCGTCAAGATCCACTTCTTCTACTTGGAAATATGACTCAATAATCTCCACTGCGATTTCATAAATTTGCTGATTTTCGTGCTCTTGCATTTGCTCGATTGTGTCAAGGCCTCCGCACTGCTCGACAATCAGAGCGAACTCGTTGTCTCCTTGCTCGTTGATGAAGCTTTGCTGGCCCACTTCAAGACAGTTTCTGATTCCTTCCAGAAGAACTACTGCTGTTTTGATGTCGACTTTTGTGGTGAGCACATGGGACATGGCTTCGATTCCTTTTCTCTTTACAATTTCAGCGACGATATCAGTGTCTCTGAGAGCTGTCGCGTTAGAAATGCTCCAACCAGCTTCTCTCTGGATCTCGTATACATCAGTGCTGGTAAGTTCAATCATCTTGTCGATGATTCCTGTTTCAATCAAGACTGAGATCTGGTTGATTGTTCCTGCACAAATGTTAGATAGTGTCCAGCAAGTTTCCTTGACAATTGCATTATCTTGATGAGAGAGCAAAGCATGAAGGTAAGGGAGCACACCAGCATCAATAACAGTCTGAGTCTCTGTATCTTCTCCAGTCACGAAGTTTCCTAGAGCTCTTACTCATGGCATGATTATGTTATTGTTGGAATGCTGAAGGTGAGCCATCAGGGGGTTCAATATCCCTCACTCGATCATCCTAATAACTGCTTGCTCGCCAGCATCTGAGATGTATGAGATAGCCCACATCCCATCAATAACGATCTCCTTCCTGTCATTCATCTTTAAGCATTCCTTAATAATTGGAATGATATATATGAGCTCTTCAAACGATGGAAGAGGCTTGCCTCTCAATAAGTTCGTGATGCACCACATACAATTCCTTGCCAGCATCGAGTTTGGTTCTGCATTCTGAAGAATATTTGCTAGTGGCTTCAGAGCTCCTTCTTTAAGAATCATCGCTTTGTAGTAAGTATCTTCCCCAGCAATATTTCCTAAAGCCCAGATACTCTGCTCGACAATGTTCTGCTGATAAGGGTTGTGGTAGGTTTCAGTTCCATCTTCATTCCTGTGGGTAGTTCCAAGCAAGCTGATGAAGATAGGGATGGTACCTTTGTCAATAAGAGCTTGCACATGCTCAGCTTTACCACTAGCAATATTAGTTAGACACCACAGAACTTCAAACTGAATTCTGGGAATATCACTCCTACCAATCAAAGAAATCAGTTGGGGCAACAAGTTTGCATCAATAACATTCTGGATTGGAGGATTGTCAATCAAAGACAACAGCTTTCTTAGTCCAACAACTGCAAACAAGACTTTTGGATCCTCATTAGATCCTATAAATTCTAGAATCAGTAAGAAATGAGAGAGTTCAAACTTAGTATTTGCCAGAATTTTGAAGTAGTCCATAATGTCCATTCCTTCCTCCCATAATGACTGTGCTTGCTCAATAGTATACTCAATCTTCTCAACAGGAGTGCTGTTGGTAGTTCCTACATCAGACTGGGTATTGGCTCCATAATTTCTCCTCTTAGCAAACTTCTTATTCTTTGCTTCCTTCCTGAGCGCGACATTGTGCTCATCTCGATTCCTTTTAATATCATCTGCGTCTTGGTGCTTGAAAAGGTGGTTCCTCCTATTCTGGATTCTGCTGTCTGGCTTTAATGAAGCCTTCTTTGAGTTCTTATCGAAGTGGAACAACTTGTTGTCCTGATGAGTCTTGTTCTCTTCCATTTTTCGGTTTATCAAATCAATTTAATGACAAATGTAAGGGGTTTTGGGGTTTTGGGGTTTTGGGGTTTTGGGGTTTTGGGG